TACAGGTTACGCATGCATCTATACTATCACGTGTATGGGAGAAGCGCACCACGCAGAACAGGGAGGGGAGAATGAACGAGGAGAACGAGTAGGATGAGGAACGAGAAGAAGAAGAGGATAGGAGGAGCAAGGTAAACCGCCGCCACCGCCACCATCACCTCCACCACCACCGCCCACGCACCTCCATGTCCAGTATTGCTCTTCAAGTCTGCCATTCTTCACTGTGGCGAAATCGATCACTGATGGGTGTCGCTTGTTGTGCGGACTGTAACTGGTCCAGACCGGGAGCAGCCATCCTTCTCCTCTCGCCCCCCCCCCCCCCCCCCCCACTCTGAAAGGGGGAGGGGGGCGGGGGATGGGATGGTCCCTTTACGGAGTCTTGTCGGACTCAAAGACTCGTCGATAATACTACGAGTTGATACTGACAGCCTACCACTGATGCCTAGAGTCTACTGCATAGCATGTACTCCGTAATATTATTGCTATTACTAGTTCACCCCTACTCTTGTACAGTAGTTGGGGTGGTGGCGGTACCTACATATACTCATATATATATATATATATATTTATATTTACATGTATGTGTGCGTGTGTGTGTGTGTACGTTGTGTGTGTGTGTGCGTGTGTGTGTGTGCGTGTGTGTGTGTAGAGAGAGAGAGAGAGAGAGAGAGAGAGAATGTTGAATTTCCTCCGATTTTGAAATTACCATGTTAGGCAACGACTACATGTCAAATCTATACATGTATGTATTATTATCTACTGCTAATATTACGACTACCATCAAGACTCAGAACTGAGTCTCGGAACGGAGTCTCTTCCCAGAGACTTGCCGCTCGTCAATGTCGCCTCTCCTGGCGCCTCTCTCTCTCTCTCTCCCTCTCTCCTTCTCTCTCCTTCTCTCTCACTCTCTCATGCTTCTCTTCTCGCACGTACGATACATGTACAGACCATGACCCTGCATTGGGCATCAACCGGTCCACTGACGCGGGCTGGCTAACCCGGGCGCAGGGGCGTGGGTCTCCTGTTTTATTCTTCTTTATATATGTATATATATATATAACTCAGTAAATCATCATCTATCTATATATATATATATATATATATCTCCTTTCCTTTGCTTTCCTTTCCTTTCCTCTTAGACTGCCGATACGACGTGATACGGTACATGTACATTTCTCGATCGGAGTGGACTGCAGAGACAAAAGTGATCCCTACTGCTATCACATATTACACAAATACAGAGTCTACAAGGGGCAGTGGAGTCTGAGGATATGTACATCAGAATAAAAAATAAGAATTGAAGGATTATTAAAAGAGGAAAATATCAAGAGGAGAATATTTTTAATAATAATGATGATGATGATGATAATAATAATAGAGGACGGTCCGCCCACCCCCGGGTCCGTGCATCGTGCATCGTACGAGCTTGTTGCTTTGCTTTTGCTCTGCTCATTGCTTCCGGCCGTGGGTTATGGTTCGAGTATCCCGTGCCTGATGTACCTTTAGGCCTCCTTTGCAATGCTCCTTGATCTGATACGCAGCAATATCAGCAGAGAAGAGCCTCTCTCCATCTTGCCACTCCCGTATACTTTTGCACCACCCTTGTCCCATGTAGATGATCAAAAAGATGGGTAAAAGCACATCACTCATTCTCGTCAAGACTCTCGAGCACACTGTACCGAGGAACTTGGGGAAATTTGGAGTTTTCTCCCTCTCATTCTCTCCTTCTCTCATTCTCCCCCTCTCTCACTCACTCATTCTCTCTCTCTCTCTCACTCTCTCTCATTCTCTCCTTCTCTCATCCCCCCCCTCTCTCACTCACTCAAACACACACACACGCTCTCTCTCTCTATATATATGTACACACAACATGTACGAGTACGAGCCAGATCCCAGGACCCATCATCACATCACTGGTCGCAAGGCCATCCAACTGTGAAGATGGAGTCGGTATCGATACACCACACTTGCCCTTGGCGAGATTGCCTATCTCATGGGGGTCCCCAACTGATCGATTGATTGGCATGGACAGATGTGTGATAGATTTCTGAAGAGTCGGGATAGACGATGTACGGAGCGATAGCAGCTCTCTGCAGCTCGGGGAGGGGGGGCGGTGGCCATACGACTACGATGGAGGCTCTGTAGCTCCTGCGTCCGTATCGCACAGGTTGGAAGGTGATATCACGGTTCGCAGGATTTCGTTGTATAGCTCGTCTCCCTCGTACGGGGAACGGACGTATCCGTACTCTTGTAGTATCCGTAGATTGTAACCTAACCACGAGCGTGATGCTATTCCGTACATCATAATGACACCCTTTTTCTTTTCTTTCATAACCTAAAGAGGTTCCATAACTAAATAATAGAAAAATATTTAGAAAAAAAATATTTTAAAAAAAAATATTAAAAAAAATGGAGAAGCATCCCACGATGATACCCACACAGTACACTAAAGGATATGCCTGTTCCTCTCTCTCTCTCTCTCAAAAGAGCCCGATGGAATAGAGAATCAAAACCACCATCCCCCCCCAAATTGAGCGAGCAGAGGGGCTCAAAAGATGTTCAGAGGAAGGGGGGGGGGGGGGGGGGCCCGCACGAAGCACAGAGTAGTTCCATCATGATTGGATAAGATGAGGGACCCGTTGACCCCTGAACTAATTTGCGTCGGGAAGCAATTCCTGTCCCCTTCTTCTCTTCCTTCTCAACGGCTCGTCACGGGGGGAGTGTTTCGAGTATTCTACCCGTCCTGAATCGAACCAGACAAGAGAGAGAGAGAGAGAGAGTCCAGGCCCTGGAGACAGGCAGAGAGTTGCACTCGAGAACTCTTGGTGGTACCTGTCCCTGCCGTCTTGGCTCTCTCAGGGTTTTTTTTTCTTCTTTTTTTTTGAATTGTTACCTGTCATGTTAGATAATAACATGGGAAAGACGTGCTCGCTGAGAGAATCATTTGGGCGATGGCCGAGTAGCCGCAACGTTTTATTGCGGTTACCGAGATTCGACTCTTGTTACCACCTGTACATTGATGTACATGTATAGACTCGTACGTGCATACGAGACTGACGGGTATACAATACAGATCACACATTGACTTGTCAATCCTTCCAACCCTCTCTGCCCGAAAAGAAAGAAGGAAGGAGCAGGAAAAGGAAAAGAGGCTCTTCGCTCATCACATCTGGTGATTGGAGGAAATACCAGAGACTGTGAGAATATATGTAGGATGAACTACATGGGTGACGTAGGGGAAGATGACAAGAGAGAGAGAGAGAGAGAGGGAATAACTACATGATGAAGATGAGGACAATAACAACAACAGTGATAATGGCAATAATGATGATGATGATGATAATAGAAGCGCGAAATCAGTTCCGGCCAGTACCAAAGGGGGGAGAGAGAGAGAGAGGATATATAATATTGACAGAGATTAGATCACGCACTGACACATTCTCTCTCTCTCTCTCTCTCTCTCCCTCTCTCTCTCC